TTAGTCCTCCGTATCCAACTTTTGGCTTGCCGCATCTTTTCCAAGATAAAGTATTGTTTTTTGTTGGGTCCCCGGTCATGTTGACGACAGGGGAATGAACAGGCAGACATGGCGCGGGCAGCAGTACATGACCCACTTTTCTTATAGAGGTATTTCCTTTACGGCTATTTTGCTGCAATTTTCCCCCCTTCACACCCGTTGGAACAACGTTGGGTCTCTATGCTCGGCAACAAACTTCAATTATTAAACCGAGTTAGGTTACTGGCCCTTTTTTTCACCGTGTCGAGGTTGGGAGACTACTTCTCTGTCTTGCATTGGCCTATCGTCTTATCATGGATATCTCATGGAGAGGGGCTTGCTCCTCTCTGTGAGAATTTTAAGCTCCATTATCAGTCAGCCCATTTGTTGGATGCCCCCCTTTTAACGAGCACGCGAATTTACTCTTTGTCGTTTCGTCCCCTGCTTTCTTTTCCTTCCCTTTTGCTGATGGACCCCTTTTTTCCGGATTTCATTGCTTTTTGACAAAAAATGACTTATTTACAAATTTGATCCTTTGCCCTTTTATTCAAACTCTTGCTCCTCTACCCCCGTACTTCCCTGCCTGTGTTTTCTGTAACCCGTCATCCCCCTCCCCTTTTGCCATCCAAAACCCCCGCTTCCTTCCCTACCCCGCAGCGCTGTATAGCCCCCTTTTGGCCTTTGAGCTTCTTTTTTTTATAATAAAATAATAATTGAAATAATCACAGGATTATTCAAAATTGCTCATATTGAATAAAACCCTATGCAGTTTAGAGAAATAATTAGAGGATAAAAAACCAAAACTTCCATGATCTGAACATGAAAAATTTTTTTTTACCTCTCTTCATGATTCTTCCCACCTCCGGGTTTTTCACCCCCGAAATTTCAGAGTTCAGCTGTTCTGTTATTTCGACCCAAAAAAAACCCTTGAAACCCCAAAAAAAAAAAAAAAATGTGAAAGAAGCGTTTATTAAAATGGCAAGACCTGTTTAAATGCAGAGCAAGGATAGTTATAGCATCCAATTCCTACGGGTTTTGTAAATGTTTGCTGTATAGCCCTTGTGGGCTTAGCGTTTTTTTTTGATTATAAAAATTTGTGAAATTTTTAAAAAAATGGGTTTTTTGTTGCAATCACAGGATTTTGGGGTAATATAATTTGTTATTACCAAGAAAAAGAAAGTTAATCAGTATTGTTATGATTTAAAACGGGGGGGAAAACTGTGAACTGTCTCGTAATATCAAGAGAACCGTTTTATCTATGGTTTAAATTTTTTCCCTTTTTTTAAATATTATTTTGTGCAGTCTTGCAGGGGTTTTCATATACACCTGATCAGAAGGGTGGATAATTTTATAATCATTTGGTTTAAAATGTTCTTAATTAACCGAGGCGGGCAAAAAAAATTTTGTAGGTATCATGCAAAAATTTTGAAGCCTCAATAGGTATTATTTTTTGTTTTTTGTGTTTTTGTGGTGTTGCAACTGTGTTGCCATCGTTGCAAGGGGGGAAAAAAAAGGGGGGGGGGGGGGGGGGGGGGGGGGGGGGGGGGTTTTTAGGAGGGGGGGGGGGGGGGGGGGGGGGGGGGGGGGGGGGTTTTTTAAACCCAGAAAAACCAAAATTTTTTTTCCGGCTATTATGTTCTGTAAAAGCCAAACAATTAGTTTCACATTAATTTTTACTTGAAAGGGATTTGTTTTTCTAATTACCTTGTTTTTAAGGCATTTTTCTTGCATTTATCAAACCGCTTTAATTTAAAATTTTTTTTAAGCTCAATTGACAAAAAGAAAAAAAGGCCCCAAAATTAAAAAAAAAATTAAAAAAATAAATTTTTTTTTTTCAAGAATTCTTAATTTTAAATGTTTTTGGAAAAAGGGGGGGGGTTAAAAGAATATCCCTAAAATTAAATATAAATTAAAAAAATATCCAAGACAGAAAAAAATTCGGGTGAATCCCCCCAATGAAAAAAGGGGGGGTTTTACTAACTTTTGAGACAATACAATAAATGTCAGGGCCCAAGACTGTTCAACTGCCTCCAGCATACTAAGTGGGGATTACCAATAGACCCCTGGCAGTCTTCAAGCTGGCACTGGACAAGCACCTAAAGTCGGTACCTGACCAGCCGGACTGTGGCTCGTACAGTGGAACCTCAAATTTTGAACTTAATCCGTTCCAGGAGCTAGTTCTAAATTCGAAAAGTCTGAAATTCGAAGCAATATTTCCCATAAGAAATAATGGAAATACAATTAATCCGTTCCAGAAACCCAAAAATATTCACAAAAAAAAATACATTTTATAGAGATTAATTACAGTTTTACATACACACAACAAATGCTATAGTCTTTAATTATGTATAGTAATATAAAATAACATTTTTACTTACCTTTATTGAAGATTGGTGATGGCATCTGGAAGATAGGGAGGAGAGAGGGAGTTGGGGTTATTGTTTGGAAGGAGAATCCCCCTCCATGAGGACTTCCGGTATCAAAGCCCTCTCTGGGGTTGCTTCCCTTCTCTGTATTTTAATGCCACTAGAACCAGCTTGAGAGTCATTGGACCCCAGTCTCACAAAATAACTATCCACAGTCGTCTGTTTCTGTCTCACAAAATAACTGTCCACAATCATCTGTTTGTCTCACAAAATAACTCCACAGTTGTCTGTTTCTGTCTCACAAAATAACTGTCCACAGTCGTCTGTTTCTGTCTCACAAAATAACTGTCCACAATCGTCTGTTTGTCTCACAAAATAACTCCACAGTTGTCTGTTTCTGTCTCACAAAATAACTCCACAGTCCTCTCTTTCTGTCTCACAAAATAACTCCACAGTCGTCTGTTTCTGTCTCACAAAATAACTGTCCACAATCGTCTGTTTGTCTCACAAAATAACTCCACAGTCGTCTGTTTCTGTCTCACAAAATAACTGTCCACAGTCGTCTGTTTCTGTCTCACAAAATAACTGTCCACAGTTGTCTGTTTCTGTCTCACAAAATAACTGTCCACAGTCCTCTGTACATCCTGGCAAACTCAACAAGTCTCACTCCAATCTCATACTTCTGTATTATTTCCTTCTTCATATCTATGGTGTTTCTCACTTTCTTTACCACACGGGGACCGCTAGCAAGTTTCTTTGGGCCCATGGCAGCTTATTTCACAGCCCCACAAGCATTAAACACAATTAAATAATTGTAAAATGTGTGAATGAGATCCCAGGTTAGTGTTCACTCAAGCATAATTATACAAAGCTAGACTGCTCATGGCGCCTGCGTGGGGACGCGAACAGAGCGGGCCAGTGCACAGGTCCCGTACCCGGCGGTTCGAAAATAGGGGCGCGTTCGATAATAAGGACACAGTTTGTCCGAAAAAATGGTCTTATTTTTGAAACGTTCGATATGTGATACGTTCGATTTTTGAGGTTCCACTGTATGTTGGATTGCGTGCAGCCAGCAGTAACAGCCTGGTTGATCAGGCTCTGATCCACCAGGAGGCCTGGTCACAGACCGGGCCACGGGGGCGTTGACTCCCGGAACTCTCCAGGTAAACTCCAGGTATACAAGGTATACAGGCCTAGCTGACATCACTGACATACTACTACACAGAAAGTCGCTTGTTACGCACAGCATTTCGGGTAAATTAGGTCAATTTTCTCCCAGGATGTGACCCACACCAGTCGACTAACACCCAGGTACCCATTTTACTGATGGGGAACATAGACAACCAGTGTAAGGAAACATGCCCAATATTTCTACCCTCGCTGGGAATCGAACCCTGGGGCCATGGGGCACCGTGGCCTGGTTTTACTATCTAAAGTGGGTTAGTGCTACTCACCACTCTCTTATACTTTTGTGTTTTGATACCTAACTTTATAAGAAACAGATAGGGCACTACTCAGTACCTGTTTTGTACATTTGGCAGTGTTAATCTTTCACTTTTGAGAAATGTATGCAACAGTGCTTTCATATAATCTGAAGCCCATTTCAGTACTTAAATCAACCTGATTCCCAGCTTATTTCATTAGTATGCCTTCTGTATTATCCAATGATAACAAGAAATTGCCCATTCAGCCATCAGAGATGCCCTACTAAGCTTGGTAATTTGGCCAGTTTTACACTATTTTTAACAAATTCTGGTTTAAAAAAGTTCAAAACAAACACGCTAGGCATTCAAGTCAATAAAACAATCTTTCCTCTGTTCATTAATCATATCCAAGGATTTCTACATAACATTAGCCCTCCATTTTGAATCCACTGTCACACAAAAATTTTATTCTTTCCTATTTCTCGGCAAATAAATTATAACCAAGCTTGCTTGGTCATGGTTTAGGCCATCCCAATAAGCATATCTAGTATAACCCACAAAACAGGCCAGAAGGGGTAGGAGGGTCCCTATCGTTTCCTAGGAAAATTGCCAAAAATCAACTACGTATTTCCACCCTTTGAGGCTTATTACAAGCCACTTTTGGTTTGAAACCAACCAAAATCTTCTTAATTTCATTAGTATGTCAAACAATCCAACTACTGACACCAAGAAGCAACCAATAAAACCATGAAAATGCCCCAAAGTCACTATTTTAACCCAAACACAAGGTCAGAGGTTAGATGTTTCATTAAAAACTTTGTGGGACAGGATTTTTTTTTTATATTGCACACAGCCATTGCACAGACCCATTCCCTTTTGTCTAGGCCAAAATTTGCCACTCAAAGCAAATCTGAGGGTACTCTGATTTACACACAGATCTACGTCAGTTACACCAGCACCAATAATACAGATCTGCATGAGAGACAGTAAAAGGGTGTGTAATGCAAGATTTATTACACAGTGGCCACAAAAGAACATACTAAAACTCAATAACAACTACACTCTTCTTCACCAATGAGTAAATGCAATGCAATGACCAGAAAAGGGTATTCCTATAGAAGAGATGATGCATTAAGTGTTAACACAGTTCACAGTGACAGTCATCCTAACAAATTCATGAGTGGTTATGATCTAGAGATCTTGTGTAATAAGCACAGTTATACAAAACTGAGCCTGCAAAGAAAAAATCTTTAGATTTTGGTTCATTTTGTTTTTGAAGACCAAATCTCTTCGATATATAATACAGCCTCGCCTCACTTAACGACGGAGTAACATTCCTCAGACCATGTTAGTAAACAAATTCGTTGCAAAGCAAGGCGCATACTATAATGGTAGTGGGTTTGTGTCAACCATCTCTGATATTGTTTTAATGTAACCTTTGCACCATTTATAACATTTTTAGTATATTTTTAAATATTTATACAGTAGTGTACTGTATATTGTAATAAACAGAACAGAGGATATCAACTCTAATATATATTATTTAGGTATGCATAATGGTCAGAAAGCCCGTCGTAAGTCTAAGTCATTGGTAAATGAGTACATCACTAAGTGAGGAGAGGCTGTACTCAGATCTGTTTAATACTTTCATAAGAAATAATGATCAGAATGAAAAGAAATTCGTGCAGGGAAAAGCCAATAAGCCAGAAAAATATTAAGACAACTGAATCTATTTGTTGGTTGCCCTTCATGAAAAATGCTGGATAATGAATAACGGGAATAAGGAAACACAAATTTGTAGGGGCAACTGAATAACTTTTTCACTGAGGTGTTATATGTATATAATCAACTAAAGGAATAATTTTAATTAGAACACACTACAATTTTTTTCACCCATATCAATTATTTTCCATAAATATGACTGACTGCCAGAAGTAAACATACTAATTATGAGCTAATTATGTAAATAACTATAGAGTGCAACATCTGCCACATTGCTTCCCTATCCACTCTATCATATGCCTTTTTTAAATCCATAAATGCAATAAAACCTTGCTCATCCGCAATTCTACATTCTGTCTTACCTCTGATTCTTTCAATAATAACCCTACTGTACACTTTTCCTGGTATACTCAGTAAACTTATTCCTCGATAATTTTTACAATCTCTTTTATCCCCCTTCCCATTATATAAAGGGACTATACACGCTCTCTGCCAATCCCTAGGTACCTTCCCCTCTTTCATACATTTATTAAACAAAAATACCAACCACTCCAACACTGTGTGTCACCCTGCTTTTAACATTTCTGTCATGATCCCATCAGTTCCAGCTGCTTTACACCCTTTCATTCTACGTAATGCCTCACGCACCTCCCCCACACACACATCCTGCTCTTCTTCACTCCTAAAAGATGGTATACCTCCCTGGCCAGAGCATGAAATTACCGCCTCCCTTTCTTCATTGATATTTAAAAGCTCCTCAAAATATTCTCGCCAGATGTAATATATACAGACTTTGCAAAAGCCTTCGACAAGTATGACCATGGCGTAATAGCGCACAAAATGCGTGCTAAAGGAATAACAGGAAAAGTCGGTCGATGGATCTATAATTTCCTCACTAACAGAACACAGAGAGTAGTCGTCAACAGAGTAAAGTCCGAGGCAGCTACGGTGAAAAGCTCTGTTCCACAAGGCACAGTACTCGCTCCCATCTTGTTCCTCATCCTCATATCCGACATAGACAAGGATGTCAGCCACAGCACCGTGTCTTCCTTTGCAGATGACACCCGAATCTGCATGACAGTGTCTTCCATTGCAGACACTGCAAAGCTCCAGGCGGACATCAACCAAATCTTTCAGTGGGCTGCAGAAAACAATATGAAGTTCAACGATGAGAAATTTCAATTACTCAGATATGGTAAACATGAGGAAATTAAATCTTCATCAGAGTACAAAACAAATTCTGGCCACAAAATAGAGCGAAACACCAACGTCAAAGACCTGGGAGTGATCATGTCGGAGGATCTCACCTTCAAGGACCATAACATTGTATCAATTGCATCTGCTAAAAAAATGACAGGATGGATAATGAGAACCTTCAAAACTAGGGAGGCCAAGCCCATGATGCCACTCTTCAGGTCACTTGTTCTATCTAGGCTGGAATATTGCTGCACACTAACAGCACCTTTCAAGGCAGGTGAAATTGCCGACCTAGAAAATGTACAGAGAACTTTCACGGCGCGCATAACGGAGATAAAACACCTCAATTATTGGGAGCGCTTGAGGTTCCTAAACCTGTATTCCCTGGAACGCAGGAGGGAGAGATACATGATTATATACAGCTGGAAAATCCTAGAGGGACTAGTACCGAACTTGCACACGAAAATCACTCACTACGAAAGCAAAAGACTTGGCAGACGATGCACCATCCCCCCAATGAAAAGCAGGGGTGTCACTAGCACGTTATGAGACCATACAATAAGTGTCAGGGGCCCGAGACTGTTCAACTGCCTCCCAGCACACATAAGGGGGATTACCAACAGACCCCTGGCAGTCTTCAAGCTGGCACTGGACAAGCACCTAAAGTCAGTTCCTGATCAGCCGGGCTGTGGCTCGTACGTTGGTTTGCGTGCAGCCAGCAGCAACAGCCTGGTTGATCAGGCTCTGATCCACCAGGAGGCCTGGTCACAGACCGGGCCGCGGGGGCGTTGACCCCCAGAACTCTCTCCAGGTAAACTCCAGTGGAGGCAGTGGAGATGTCCTGTCTAAGGGCAATGTGTGGTGTAAATATTATGCAGAAAATTCGGAGTGTGGAAATTAGGAGAAGGTGTGGAGCTAATAAAAGTATTAGTCAGAGGGCTGAAGAGGGTTTGTTGAGGTGGTTTGGTCATTTAGAGAGAATGGATCAAAGTAGAATGACATGGAGAGTGTATAAATCTGTAGGGGAAGGAAGGCGGGGTAGGGGTCGTGCTCAAAAAGGTTGGAGGGAGGGAGTAAAGGAGGTGTTGTGGGCAAGGGGTTTGGACTTCCAGCAAGCGTGCATGAGTGTGTTAGATAGGAGTGAATGGAGACAAATGGTATTTGGGACCTGACGAGCTGTTGGAGTGTGAGCAGGGTAATATTTAGTGAAGGGATTCATGGAAACCAGTTATTTTATATAACTGGACTTGAGTCCTGGAAATGGGAAGTACAATGCCTGCACTCTAAAGGAGGGGCTTGGGATATTTTCAGTTTGGAGGGATATATTGTGTATTTTTATACGTATATACTTCTAAACTGTTGTATTCTGGGCACCTCTGCAAAAACAGTGATTATGTGTGAGTGAGGTGAAAGTGTTGAATGATGATGAAGGTATTTTCTTTTTGGGTCACCCTGCCTCGGTGGGAGATGGCCGACTTGTTAAAAAAAAAAAAAAAAAAAAAAAAAAAAAACTAGAGTGCTAAAGATATATCTTACCTCCACACACATACACCATGGCAACAGCTTTGGGGGGCTCGGGTTTTTCTGGCTTCTCCATCTTGAAGCTTTACCAATATACCTGAAGCATGAGGTAAATTAACAAAAAATAGTTAACTTACATGAATCATACTTTTAAGTGGTAAGAGACAATTCTTGCTATCTTAGTGTTACAAAACAATAAAACAATAATGTTATATGTACAACTGTTCCTCATGTATGGCATGTACTACATGTCAGATGTATATTCAAATACGAATATCATATGAAGAGCCAAAATGAAGCTATGCTTACAAATCTATCAAGAATGTGTGTTGTATCTGGACTACATGCCTGTCTATATACAAATATTTTAAAAGAATGCTTTCTAATTCTCAAGTCAAAACTTACAAAAAAACATAATTTATCTAATTTGCACATATTAACACTAAAACTCTCTCTCCACTACACAATGGAAATAAGTCACTCTGACTTTTTTGGGGGGTTACCCTAAGAATTTTATACTATGATAGTTGTACATATGTGAACCTATGCTTAAATAAACTTACTTATCCAGTCAGTATTACAAACTTTCAATTAAAATGTTTGCAAAATCAATGGTGTCCCTAAACTCAACATTCATCAAACCAAGTTAATATTGTACAATTCAAAGTACTGTATAATTAATGGCCAAAATCTGCCAAGATTATACCATCGGTTACTAAGTCATATAGCATACCAGGCCAATCACAGCGAACACAAAGACACCATTTCCAGAGCTTCTAATAACAGAGGAAGTTCTCATTACGGTAAGCTTAAATTTAATTTTAATGACATAATTCGACAATTCTGCACACTACAATGAAAGTACCACTGTCCAATAATTACGTATTTGGTTACATTACGTTAAATAAATAACAAAAAGGCACAATACCGTGACTGGAACGATACACAAATAACCCGCACATAAAAGAGAGAAGCTTACGACGACGTTTCGGTCCGACTTGGACCATTGACAAAGTCACACAGAGTGTGACTTTGTCAATGGTCCAAGTCGGACCGAAACGTCGTCGTAAGCTTCTCTCTTTTATGTGCGGGTTATTTGTGTTACATTACGTTATTTTGCATTAGGTTAAGATATGATTTGTTCGGATTTTTAACCTGGAGGGTTAGCAACCATCCCAATAAAGTCAGTGCGTCATCGGGAACTGTCTGATTAATTTCCATTTGGGTCCTCTAATCTTGTTCTCCAGGATGCGACCCACAACCGTCGACTAACACCCAGGTACCTATTTTACAGCTAGGTGAACATGGACAGCAGGTGTCTTAAGTAAGTAAGTAAGTTTATTCAGGTATACACAAATACAGTTACATAGAATTATCATACATAGCAGCATATGTGTAGAGAACCTGGGATAACCCAAAAAAGTCAGACCCTAATTCCATTAGGGTCCTTTAAGGAAACATCCTAGTGTTTCCACCCGTACCGGGGATCGAACCACATACCTCAGTGTGTGAACCGAGTGTATAATTTACACTATGTATGATAACTATACTTGTATGTACATGTGCCTAAATGAACTTACAATTATAGATAGAATTAAATATGGTATGGAAATGGATGAGTGTTCTGGCTAGCATGAACCAGTAATATCATTTATTCAAGGTTATTACATATGTTTTACAGACTCTTATTCATTTATACAAATAAAATGAATATATTAATGTTATATACAGTCAACAGTATAATTAAAACAGTTGACCAACTGTAATGTGTATGTTCTCGTAACATCAAGAATGTGCTCATGTCTAAAATGTGGATTAATGTAAGTTATCAGTGTATATAGAGATAATACACACCTCTGTAAGTATATAAACTCGCTGGAAACAATACAAATATATTGAAAATTAGCTGCGATGCTTCCAAAGTTTCTCAGCAACCTTGTTGATGTGAGGTTGTTAAGGGCTGTGATGACTCTACCTGCCTGGACCAGTACTGATACTGGACCAGTACTGATACTGGACCAGTACTGATACTGGACTAGTACTGATACTGGACTAGTACTGATACTGGACTAGTACTGATACTGGACTAGTACTGATACTGGACTAATACTGATACTGGACTAGTACTGATACTGGACTAGTACTGATACTGGACCAGTACTGATACTGGACTAGTACTGATACTGGACTAGTACTGATACTGGACTAGTACTGATACTGGACTAGTACTGATACTGGACTAGTACTGATACTGGACTAGTACTGATACTGGACTAGTACTGATACTGGACTAATACTGATACTGGACTAATACTGATACTGGACTAGTACTGATACTGGACTAGTACTGATACTGGACCAGTACTGATACTGGACTAGTACTGATACTGGACTAGTACTGATACTGGACTAGTACTGATACTGGACTAATACTGATACTGGACTAGTACTGATACTGGACCAGTACTGATACTGGACTAGTACTGATACTGGACTAGTACTGATACTGGACCAGTACTGATACTGGACCAGTACTTATACTGGACCAGTACTGATACTGGACCAGTACTGATACTGGACTAGTACTGATACTGGACTAGTACTGATACTGGACTAGTACTGATACTGGACTAGTACTGATACTGGACTAGTACTGATACTGGACTAATACTGATACTGGACTAGTACTGATACTGGACCAGTACTGATACTGGACTAGTACTGATACTGGACTAGTACTGATACTGGACCAGTACTGATACTGGACCAGTACTTATACTGGACCAGTACTGATACTGGACCAGTACTGATACTGGACCAGTACTGACACTGGACCAGTACTGATACTGGACCAGTACTGATACTGGACCAGTACTTATACTGGACCAGTACTGATACTGGACCAGTACTGATACTGGACCAGTACTGATACTGGACCAGTACTTATACTGGACCAGTACTTATACTGGACCAGTACTGATACTGGACCAGTACTGATACTGGACCAGTACTGATACTGGACCAGTACTGATACTGGACCAGTACTGATACTGGACCAGTACTTATACTGGACCAGTACTGATACTGGACCAGTACTGATACTGGACCAGTACTGATACTGGACTAGTACTGATACTGGACTAGTACTGATACTGGACTAGTACTGATACTGGACTAGTACTGATAGTGAATCAGTACTGATACTGGACTAATACTGATACTGGACCAGTACTGATACTGGGCCAGTACTGATACTGGACCAGTACTGATAATGGACCAGTACTGACACGACCAATAATATCTAATGAATGAGGCCACAAAATAGAGCGAAACACCAACGTCAAAGACCTGGGAGTGATTATGTCGGAGGATCTCACCTTCAAGGACCATAACATTGTATCAATCACATCTGCTAGAAAAATGACAGGATGGATAATGAGAACCTTCAAAACTAGGGAGGCCAAGCCCATGATGACACTCTTCAGGTCACTTGTTCTATCTAGGCTGGAATATTGCTGCACTCTAACAGCACCTTTCAAGGCAGGTGAAATTGCCGACCTAGAAAATGTACAGAGAACTTTCACGGCGCGCATAACGGAGATAAAACACCTCAATTACTGGGAGCGCTTGAGGTTTCTAAACCTGTATTCCCTGGAACGCAGGAGGGAGAGATACATGATTATATACACCTGGAAAATCCTAGAGGGACTAGTACCGAACTTGCACACGAAAATCACTCACTACGAAAGCAAAAGACTTGGCAGACGATGCACCATCCCCCCAATGAAAAGCAGGGGTGTCACTAGCACGTTAAGAGACCATACAATAAGTGTCAGGGGCCCGAGACTGTTCAACTGCCTCCCAGCACACATAAGGGGGATTACCAACAGACCCCTGGCAGTCTTCAAGCTGGCACTGGACAAGCACCTAAAGTCAGTTCCTGACCAGCCGGGCTGTGGCTCGTACGTTGGTTTGCGTGCAGCCAGCAGCAACAGCCTGGTTGATCAGGCGCTGATCCACCAGGAGGCCTGGTCACAGACCGGGCCGCGGGGGCGTTGACCCCCGAAACTCTCTCCAGGTAAACTCCAGGCAGAATATGAAGATACTGAATGCTTGTATTGTTAAAATATTCATTACTGTTTTATCCATCTTATATACTCAATATTTTGTCTATTGACTTTAACTCTAAAGAATAAGATGGTATATATGAATATAACTGTGTGACCATATAGCTCCAGGACCCCAATCAAAATAAGCCACATTGATTTTCTTGGGCTATGTAAGATAAAACTATACATAATTTACTATATATAACCAATGAAAAAGTTGCAAATTATACCCCAGTCTGAATAAAAGTTATTTTCATGGATACTGAAGTTCTGATGATGAAGATATATATGTGGCATTAGTATTTATTTTTTATTGTGTTTTAATGTATATTTACCAAGAAAACAAGCAAAAATTTGCACACATGACTTCTAGTTATGTCAACATAATTAATATTTCAGGATCATCAAAGATAAATGAGTAAAAAAGACACACATAACTTTTAATATATTTCTACTCCATTAATGTAACAAAATAATAAATATAATTTATAACATCAACAATTCAAAGCTATAAACTAAGTAATAACAAGATGAATGAAACAAGTGATATTTGGAGTAACAAGGATGTATAACTGATGAAAAACACTTGGTTAATTAAACTAAGATAATTACAGAGTCTTTTGACTACCGCCCACAGGATGGGTGTAGGGTGCATAATAGATATTAAACTAACTGAAGAATAAAAGTGAGAATATTTTGCTTCGGTCGGTACTGGACCAGTATCAACTAACCAAAACCATAATTTTTAAAGGGGTGGAGGGGTAAGCCAGTGGAAGGCCTTAGTCAGATGACCAAAAGTTCCAGCTGTGGGTCATCATATGACTAAGACCCGCGTCAGGAAACACTTGTCCTGTTTCCTGACAAACATTTCCTTACCTAGTATCAACTTGGCCTGACAGTGGTCCAGTACTGGTTGAAATATCGACAAGTTTAGACCAATCCATGGATAAATTCTCTACATTTTAATTATCAGTATTATGCAAACATGGGTTAATATTCCTGAATACAGACTCGTCAGGCAACTGGTCCTTCACCCACCATACAATCTTTAGATTTCTGATATCTTATTAACAACGAAATAATTTACGTGTTTCTGGAGAGTGGGATTTTTGTTTGAGAAATCTAAGATATAGTAATTTAGTGTGTGGCCCCTGTCACTGCACACACGTCTCTGCTCACACGTCTCTGCTCACACGTCTCTGCTCATGTCTCTGCTCACGTTTCTGCTCAGGTCTCTGCTCACGTCTCTCCTTACATGTCTAGTTTATCCATAGTTAACTGTTTGGTTATGAGTAATATGGCTTATTTCTACTGGGGTTCACGCCAGGTTGTGGTGTCCAGTAGAGTGGCCGGCTCAACCCAATGAAACGACTAGAGGGCAGCAGACTCAGCAATTTGTGGTGTAGAGCAGAGGAGACAGCAGACTCAGCAGTTTGTGGTGTAGAGCAGAGGAGACAGCAGACTCAGCAGTTTGTGGTGTAGAGCAGAGACAGCAGACTCAGCAGTTTGTGGTGTAGAGCAGAGGATACAGCAGACTCAGCAGGTTGTGGTGTAGAGCAGAGGATACAGCAGACTCAGCAGGTTGTGGTGTAGAGCAGAGTAGACAGCAGACTCAGCAGGTTGTAGTGTAGAGCAGAGGAGACAGCAGACTCAGCAGGTTGTGGTGTAGAGGAGAGGAGACAGCAGACTCAGCAGGTTGTGGTGTAGAGCAGAGGATACAGCAGACTCAGCAGGTTGTGGTGTAGAGAGGAGACAGCAGACTCAACAGGTTGTGGTGTAGAGGAGAGGAGACAGCAAACTCAATAGGTTGTGGAGTAGAGCAGAGGAGACAGCAGACTCAGCAGGGTATCTGGGTGTAGCTAATAGAGAAGCCAGTGCTGTTAACACCGGCAGATTCCTTGTCATCTGTCACGACCCGCACCTCAAAAGGTGTTGAATAAGCTGCAGAGAAAATTTAGTTTATATCAGTTTTAGGAAATAACAATTATGTTAAGACAATTCTTTATAAAGTATATGTATAATTGTTAATAGGGCTTAAACTATCGATACGTGAGGGTCTTTAAGGATGCATGTAATATAATCGCAGACAGGCGATCTTAACTATGCATGACAAGTCACGGGGGCCGGAAATCTTCATCTCAAGATCAATCACACGTGTCCGTGCGTCATCAGGAGCTATTCAATGTTGCAAGAGTAGCAACAGGAGGAATGAGAGACAGTTTTCTCAGAGTAAGGTTGAGTGGTGACACCAGGCAGCTCCTCTCAGATCTGAGAGGAACTGGATGGCATCACCACGCTACCTTACTCTGTTAAAACTTCCTCTCATTTCCCCTGTTGCTACTCTTGCAACACTGAATAGCTCCTGATGACCCACGGAGACGTGGGAAAGATACTGAGCTGAAGATACTGACATTAAGGCAGATATACAGACTCACTTATGACATCGGTGAAGGTAGTCCCACACTGACGGTCAGTAGATGCTGCAGTGCCATTCTTGGCCACCGTAGGGATCAACACGAAGTCCGTGACGCAGGGAGTTACACCTGAGACAACAACAAAAACCATTTACACTATGGTTTATTATTGTACCTTCTTTTTACAAAGTTAAATTTATAGGCTACGAAATTTAATACTACCTACGCTCATTTGCAGGCTGGAAACTACTACCCTACCTTATCAATACTTCAAGGTATGTATACGATTCCTTCTATTTCCATGCCATGGATGCCTCCCACAACAGTCGACCAATTTACACACCTATTTATTATGTAAACTTGTTCAGTGGGTGTAAGGAGACTTACTCATACATCTCGCCCCATCCGAAAATCAAACCCGGGTGCCTACGGTTGTGATCCGACTTCTCTCTTATGGTGATATAGATCACAACTCATGAAATCGTAACAATAAGATTGTAAACAAACCATGGTACGGGTGAGGTTTGAACTCGAGGCCTGGAGTTTTACGATTCACTTGACGCGAGTTCAAGTCCCACTCGTACCGTGGATTGATAAAGATCACCTGCTACATTTACACACCTACAACACCACCAACTGTCTTACGGGACCTGATGGTGATAGGTGGACTGCGGGTTCCTGCACTGCAAGAAAGCATATGACATTTCCCCACCTGAAACCGATACACAACCCCTCCCCCCTCTCACAACACTAAACTCCCCCGTACACCACTAACACCCCCGTACACTCATCAACACCCACGTACACCCATGAACACCCACGTACACTCCACATCAACACCCCTGTATACTCACCAGCAGCGGAAACATTGAAGGCGTTACTAGTATACCTAATACCGCAGAAGCCTTCCCTCGTCCTGATGCAAGCAGTATACAACTGGTTTGCTAACTGTTTTCCTCCACCTGCTGTCTGTAGGTGAATACAAACAAGTCAAGCAGGTAGGAAGAGAAGGTCAGGTAATTAGGCAAGTACATGTACAATGAGACAAGTGGAAGAATATGACACGAAAACGGACGACTGAGAAACATGTACAAGATGAAGAAGTAGACATATTTGCAGCATCTAGCTGAGGGATTGATTACCTCATCTTTTGTATTATGTCCTCGAATTTGTATTGATAAAGCCACTGGATGGCGAAACGTCTACAATAGATATCCAGACGTTGCACACGTGTCTAATTCTTCACATACGTACGATACACAGAGAAAAGTGGGATAAGCGAGGTGAGGCAGCAGCAGCTGAGTGATACTAGTGTTAGCTGGCAACAGCAAACACAGCAGGCAGGTACAAAAAAGGTAAAATAAAGCCCATGAAGCAGGGAGAGTGGACGTGGTAGTGATTAAGTTTATTTAGGCACAGGTACACATAAGTATAATTATCATACATAGTGTTAAATACCTAGGATAACCCCGAAAAAGTCAGACAAAGGGATTTATTTCCATGGGGATGGGGGCAGGAGCTATGAATCGACCCCTGCAACCACAAATATGTAAGTATAAACAAGTGAGTATGACAGCAGCTGTTGTAACCTAACTTGTACCTTCCCACAACAGATAATCAACTTTCCTTTTCCCCGCCTCTAAAAAAATGCATTAACAATAAATGAAATTACCTTCTCACTGTCTTAAAGAGGCAATCAATACTGAAAGGTGAGTGAGAAAAAATAAACAGCCAATGGAGACCAATCCAATTTCCCATAAGTTTCATGTGTGTGTGTGTGTACTCACCTAGTTGTACTCATCTAGTTGAGGTTGCAGGGGTCAGTTCCAAGCTCCTGGCCCCGCCTCTTCACTGGTCGCTACTAGGTCACTCTCCCTGAACCGTGAGCTTTATCATACCTCTGCTTAAAGCTATGTATGGATCCTGCCTCCACTACATCGCTTCCCAAACTATTCCACTTCCTGACTACTCTGTGGCTGAAGAAATACTTCCTAACATCCCTGTGATTCATCTGTGTCTTCAACTTCCAACTGTGTCCCCTTGTTACTGTGTCCAATCTCTGGAACATCCTGTCTTTGTGTGTGTGTGTGTGTACTCACCTATTTGTACTCACCTATTTGTGGTTGCAGGGGTCGAGTCCTAGCTCCTGGCCCCGCCTCTTCACCGGTTGCTACTAGGCCCTCTCTCTCCCCGCTCCATGAGCTTTATCAAACCTCGTCTTAAAACTGTGTATGGTTCCTGCCTCCACTACGTCATTTTCTAGGCTATTCCACTGCCTTACAACTCTATGACTGAAGAAATACTTCCTACTATCTCTCTGACTCATTTGTGTCTTCAACTTCCAATTGTGGCCTCTTGTTTCTGTGTCCCCTCCCTGGAACATCCTGTCCTTGTCCACCTTGTCTATTCCACGCAGTATTTTATATGTCGTTATCATGTCTCCCCTGACCCTCCTGTCCTCCAGTGTCGTCAGGCCGTGTGTGTGTGTGTGTGTACTCACCTATTTGTGGTTGCAGGGGTCGAGTCCTAGCTCGGTGTGTGTGTGTGTGTGTGTGTGTGTGTGTGTGTGTGTGTGTGTGTGTGTGTGTGTGTGTTGTGTGTGTGTGTGTGTGTGTGTGTGTGTGTGTGTGTGTGAAGACGAAGTTAATAACTCACCTGGAAGTTGAAGGACTTGACAGTACCGGAGTATTCAGTGTAGTACTGGAGGCAGTTGGGCGGCGCTGTTGGCACACGAGGATTCATATTATTTTTTTATTATAATGAATTCAGCTTAGAAAAGTTGAAGATAGTATAGTGTTTACTTCAGGCAAGAAACAAATCTACGGGTTATACGAGTCAGGCAATATCAAAAAAGTTGTACATGAATGGTATGCAATACGGATGTGTCTAATTTTTCGTCACAGTATCAACCAACACCAGAAAACATCCACACAACAAACGAGGAAGTGTTGATAATGAAGGAACTGGAGACAAAAAACCATAAGGCGACAACATATCCCCCCCCGGGTAGCGAAGGAGGGCGTCGAAACCCTGTGTGAACCCACAGTGAAGATCTCCAGTAAGCCACCGGGGAGGGACAATTACTGTATACATGGAAAAGAGGCTAATGTTGCCGTTATATTGAAGAATGGAAACAGGAAAAGCACTACACTACCGGACGGTGTCATTGACGTGCATCCTCTCTAAATTTGAGAAAATTGTCAGGTGGAGGATACTGGAACACCAGGAGACTAGGAGTTTCATATATAAAAGCCAACAAGGATTCAGGAATGCAAGATCCTTTCTGACAAACCTACAGAAGCTATTAACAGAGTTTCGGAAATAGAGCAAGAGATAAAAGGATAAGTCAATACATCTTCCTGGATTGTAGTTAATCAGGATTGTAGTTAATCATTAAACAATGTTTCCCACCAGCAATTGACATACAAGCTTGAAGAGCAAACGGAGAGGCAAGGGAAAGTCTTCAGATGGATCAGGGAATACATGAAAGGCAGCAAGCAGAGAATGACAGGGCAAGGATAACAAGTGGGGTCCCCCAAGAATCTTTATTGGGAATACTGCAGTTACTAGTATATAACTGGCAAAAGGGATCGAATCCTTTCTTAGAGTTATGTAAGAGAATACAAACATAGACGATAGCGAGAGGTTCCAGGAAGACGTAGATACATTACAGGGATGGTCAAACAAGTGCCTGCTGAAGCATAATCCAAACTGTGTGCACTCGGACTTACTTTAAGGTAGATTTGCAGTTGCAAGTATGTCGGCTTGGGGCACAACGTGAAACATTATGGACAACAAATATATTTGCTTGCATCGGAAAAGAGAGGATTAACAGTAGAGATGGTGAGTAAGCACTCACAGGTTCACGAACAGGAAACGATAACCAGACAGGAAATCCGTCAACAGCCAGCAAGCTAGGTTTCAGACTCCATATATGCTTTGTAAACATAATAACAGAAGGAAAAGTTCTTTTTTTTCTGTAATAACCATCGAAAGAAGAATTAATGTACGAACTGACAATATAGTAGCGAAGTAGAGTAAATGAATTAATGACAAGAAAATAATAATAATAATAATAATAATAATAATAATAATAATAATAATAATAATAATAATAATAACAATAACAATAACAATAAAAATATTATTATTATTATTTTATTATTAAATAGATGTACTATTTGATCAAATAATGCACACTTTATATTGTAATTTTAACTTAATAATAATAATAATAATAATAATGTGATATACATATTTGTGGAAAATTGCATTTATCTGAATGTATTATTATATACATAACAGTAAATGAACATTGATAATTATTATTTATCAGTTAGACAAGTAGGAATTTGGGACACCTAGGTCGCAAAAAATGTCCCCCTTCGATACCTACCACTGTCATAACCACAAGTTGCTCTGGACCTATTAATTAAATGAAATATACATCACCAGGAATGCTGGTAAATATATAAATTTGTGGACTGTCTATTAAAATTAAAAAAATGATTATATATAAACACATTTAAATAACAGAAGGAGAATATCTTAAAAACTCACCAATTTGACTGGAGATTAAGGTGTATCATACTCAGAAAACCCCCGTCTACATTCATGATAATAATACTGGCCAGAACTATAAACATAATATAGACATGACTTAGCTGGGGTTCCTGGAGCTGTCTTGTTCAGTCGCCTGATATCTCAAGTTATGCAGGAATGCACATCCAACAATTTCGTCTCCTATTTGAGAGGTGTCAGCCCAATTTTAACCTCTAGAGCACGAAAAATTCTTCCCATTACTAATGCCTGTTACTCAATTCAAACAACAAAATGGCGACTCACCTGCCCAGCCGCAGGTTTCCCATTTTTCGATAACATACTTCTTTTAAAAATACAATATAGGGCATCTATTTACCTATAAATTACCGTATTTCCGGAAAATATATACAGTATTTTCCACAATAAACAAAAATGCAAAAAAATAGAATTTGTTTTCATAGTCGGAATGAACGAAGAAGAAATGATAAATAATTCACATTTAGCGCTAAACCCATGTGGGTCATTCAAAGTGATGTGATTGTTTCCATGGGGTCCGCCCCCAGGATGAGACCCAGAACAGCCCATGAACACCTAGTTACCCATTTACTTTTAAGTGAACATTAGCAGGGGAGGAGCAGGGGTTCTGGGTGACCTGTAGGACTCACCTCTGCTGGGGGAGGAGCAGGGGTTCTGGGTGACCTGTAGGATTCACCTCTGCTGGGGGAGGAGCAGGGGTTCTGGGTGACCTGTAGGACTCACCTCTGCTGGGGGAGGAGCAGGGGTCCTGGGTGACCTATAGAAAGACACCTCTGCTGGGGTAGGAGCAGGGGTTTTGGGTGACCTGTAGAAGGACTCACCTCTGCTGGGGGAGGAGCAGGGGATCTGGGTGACCTGTAGGACTCACCTTTGCTGGGGGAGAAGCAGGGGTTCTGGGTGGCCTCTAGAAGGACTCACCTCTGCTGGGGGAGGAGCAGGGGTTCTGGGTGACCTGTAGAAGGACTCACCTCTGCTGGGGGAGGAGCAGGGGATCTGGATGACCTTGATCCTCCAGGAGCGGTCGTAACCAGTGGTGGTGGTTGCAATGTTGACCCTGGCTGCCCTGGTACCGCTAGCCAGGCCCAGGTACACTGTAGTAAGTAAATTTATTTAGGCACTGGTATACATAAGTACAATTGTCATACATAGTGTAAATTGCCTAGGATAACCCCAAAAAAGGTCAGTGACTTATTTCCATCACTAAGGTTTACGTCGTAACAAAACATCTACAGTTAGTTATACTGTTAGGCTTACACTGCGAGTATAATCAAGGTCATCAAGGTATTTGTTATCAGTTACGATAACAATATGCATTAACAAGCTAATGAGGTTTGTTGTAAGGAAAATTTTGTGGATGAAGAGCCCTTCGCCAGCATCAAGGTACCACCTTGGATCAAGGTATCTTTACCAGCATCAAGGTACCACCTTGGATCAAGGGATCTTTACCAGCATCAAGGTATCACCTTGGATCATTAAGGGTACATGGCAGCAAGGATGAGGTTGAGTTTTAAATTCGCAAACAGAGGGGTTAGAACAGACCACATTATGTACCAGTTCTTGGGGTGGCGAGTAGCTACACCAGCACCCTTTATCACCTCTTTATCACCCTCTATCCCCACCGTCACCCCCGCTACCACCCCAGAGCCCTGACTTACTATGCTGGCCAGAGTTGTCGCCACAGATAACGCTGGGGTTCGCACCGCTGGCGCCCGTCACAGCGAGGGTGTCATCACTACACTGAGTTGTGTTGTCAGGACCAACCAGACGTAGAACTTCGAAGTCCAACCGTAGTTGACACACGTCAGCACTCACCTGAGGGAGAGAGCAAGGGTGAGAGAGAGCGAGGGAGAGAGAAAAAAAAAGATATGGGAAATGGTTAGAGAGTGGGAGTGGAGATGGTGAAAGATGGAAGATAAGAGGGACGAATAAAGGTGAGGTTGGGGCAAGGAGAGGGAGAGAACACACCAGCCCCCACACACATACTCCAACCTCTACACACCAGCCCCCCACACACACTCCAACCTTTACACACCAGCCCCCCTACACACACTCCAACCTCTACGCACCAACCCCCCCCACACATACTCCAACCTCTACGCACCAGCTCCCACACATACACTAGACCCCACACACCAGCCCCCACACCTACCTTCTCTATGGTGTACTGGCAGTTATTAATAGCGTTGAAGGTTGTGGGGTAGCCATCATTAACCAAGTATGTGGAATTCCTAGAGACTGTGGAGCCGCACTGTGCGTTATCTGTGGGCAGAGTTAACTACTATAGGAAGTATGTGTAGGTTAGGGGTGGCAGGGCCTTATAGGAAGCGGGTGGGGTAAGGGACAAATCACAGTAATGTAACTGGAGAAATTAACAGAGAAGAATACTAAGTAGACACAAAGAAGAATAACAGACGCAATAGAAATATTCAGAGACACGTTAAAAATGCAAACAGACGCAGCAGAAATACAAAAGTGGCAGAAATACTCTCAGACGCAATAGAAATACACATAGACAGCAAAATGCATAGACACAACAGAAATACACACATACACATCAGGGACACAAACAGCAGAAACATACGCGCAGCAGAAATACAGAAAGAGCAGATACCAACATTATTACAGATGCAAAGTCAGTTTAATATCGTTCTAATGCACCCCATACCCATCCTGTGGGTGGTAGTCAAGACTGCAGAGGTACATAATAGGTCCAGGGACTGTACTTCAACATTACAGAGGCATATAATGGGTCCAGGGACTGTACTTCAACATTACAGAGGCACATAATGGGTCCAAGGACTGTACTTCAACATTACAGAGGCACATAATGGATCTAGGGACTGTACTTCAACATTACAGAGGCACATAATGGGTCCAGGGGTTGCACCTCAACATTACAGAGGCACATAATGGGTCTAGGGACTGTACTTCAACATTACAGAGGCACATAATAGGTCCAGAGACTGCGCCATAAAGTTCTGATAACTAAACAAATTACAGTGATAATGACATATTTATGTTTATATCTTGTTACAGTCGTAATGAGTTATTTATGCAGACATGAATTAGGTCACAAAAAATATTACAAAAAATATTACCTTATATTTCAGCAAGGTATACTTGTAAAAATAATAAAGTTTAAGTGGTTATGTATTATTTCCAGCGGCAAAGTCAAGGTATTTTTTACAGAATGGTTAGTAATATACCACAGACGTACAAAACATTGACAATACTCACAGACGCAACAGACACCGTAGCCACTGCCACAGGTACCGTCAGCTCGACCTTTCTGACTGGTACACTGTGGCCTAGAGGTACAAGTACCAGTGAAATTATCCGACTGTGATGTACACTCTGTGGCCTGCACCTTCACAGAGACGAACGGGAACAACTGCAGGTTTAAAACTGAGAGAAAAATAGCGTTACTATTTTGTAGTAATATTGTAACAGAACACGCCGCAGTTAACTACTGAATCTTATTTATACAGACAGGCAGATTCACTTTTGGGGTCCTGAAGCTTGAACTGTTATGGGAGCCCCTTCGCAACCCCTTCTCATACAGTAGACCCCAGTATTTTTAAGCAATGTGATTAATTAAGCATTATTAGTTTCACAGCAGATCCGTCCCTGATCAGGATACTGACGTGAACTGTGGATCGCATCCTGGGAGACAAGCCTGAAGGTCCCCAGTGGAAACCAGTCAGTCCTTGACTGACTTTCTTGGGTTATCCTGTGTGGCTGACCTTTCCCCGGGTTAAAAATTCCAACAGATCCTATCGTATCTTAACTGTTTTATAAATCTAAAGCCAATGGTCTTCAGGCAGGTCAATAAGAGCCTCTTCCACTAGCTTCAAGAATATTTTATGCTCTCAAATACGAATTAAAGTATATTCTCAATGTACATAAAGATATACACTCCTTAATGTGTACACTCGAAGATACACTTCATAATATCATAGACTGAAAGATATACATCTCGTAATGTATGTACACAGATATATACCTCTAAGTGCATATGCATTAAGAGAAATGTATCTCGTGTATATACGTATACGCTGAGACGTATCTCTTTGCATAGTGACCCAAGTAAACACTTCCCTGCCATCTTAGTGACCCACGTACACACTCTTACCACCTTAATGATCCACGTACAGTTAATAAGCTTTAAACCTATGACACTCCCCTTCTACACATGTCAACATTTCACACACAATCTGGGGCAGAACTTACATTTTCCGTCACGATGGTAGTCTTGTGCATCGTGTTGCAGGCTTGCAACACCGTGTTGTAGGCTTGTAACACCGTGTTGTAGGCTTGTAACACCGTGTTGTAGGCTTGTAACACCGTGTGCTGCCTGAGACACCATGATAACAGCGGGCAACACCACCAGCACCCACACCACATACACTGCCCTGGCTGACATTTCCCTTCGTCTCACTAAGAAATGGGAAAGCTGAAAACTAGGCTAGTTTACAGCCTTAAATCCGGGATAGTGGCTAACTTAACAGCTTACTGATGCCCGACAGTAAGATCATGTAAAATAATACTCTGACTGTAGGCAATACTCCGGTAGGAGTCCCGGAGGCTTGATCCTCCTTCCCTAAACTCGAGTGACTTCTATCTTCGATGCACACATGTATATAGTCTTACAGGATCAAGTTATATAACCAGTGTAAAAGTGAATATTAATCTGAAGACAGTATTAGTGCCTAGTGCGGAGTGTAACTGAACACAGCGTCCTCGTCACTACTGTCTAAGGTGGTCGGGGAGATCTACTTATATATAGCAGGCAAGGTGGAGTCCTAAGGTGAGACACCATTGTTTAAATTGTAGCAGTCCTCGCATCCGGTGTCATTAAGTTCTACATGAAGACGAGGTGTCGTCCCACAGGGGCAGCTTTTACTGGTGGTCGCCTTTATTCTTCTTACTCTTAGAAATGTCTCGTTTATAAGTTCACAACCCCTGGTTCAGTGGATTATTGGGATGGGCAGTTACCCTTTATGACAGTTTTTGTGATGCCATTTCTTATTCTGGTTGATGCGCGATGATATGAGGAAGCTGATTCCCGTAGCTAGATTGGTAGCGCACTCAGCTTACACACTGAGGTCCGTAGATCTATTCCCGGTGCGGGTGGAAACGTTGGGGCGTGTTTCCTTAAGACACCTGCTGTCCTTGTTCACCCATCAGTAAAATGGGTACCTGGGTGTTAGTCGACTGGTGTGGGTCGCATCCTGGGACAAAATTGATCTAATTTGCCTGAAATGCTCCGCATAACAAGGGGCTTTCTATATAGAAGTGTATGTCATTGATGTCAGCTATGGTCTGCATAAGTTGTAGAAATAAAGATTATTATTATTATTATTATTATTATTATTATTATTATTATTATTATTATTATTATTATTATTATTATTCGATTGGCTTATTGGCCTATTTAGAAGAAGGTTCTGGGTGTTCCAGACTATGGAGCAAAACTCTTCTCCAGGCTGAGGGACTGACCACCTCAAAACTATGTCTTCAAGGATGATGGACTGATTACATTGTCTTCACATCTTTACTGCCTCTGTTAACTCTTCTGTACTCGACTGAAGAAACCTATCTGTAGACGAAACATTTCGGAATAAAGATACCTAACTGTTGCACATGTGTCTTACTTATCAAGGAAACAGAGTAACAAGATGTAAATGAAGTTTATCATGGTTGACGACCACATTTAGCGAGTGTTTATGGCTGAATCTGCGCTGGCAGCCAACATAGCTGATGCGGCGAGATCTCCACTGGTGTTTCTGCTGCTGTGTGATCTTTCTGTACCCACTGCAGGGTGGGTGAGTTCTCTCTCTCTCTCTTTCTCTCTTTCTCTCTCTCTCTCTCTCTCTCTCTCTCTCTCTCTCTCTCTCTCTCTCTCTCTCTCTCTCTCTCTCTCTCTCTCTCTCTCTCTCTCTCTCTCTCTCTCTCTCTCCACCAATGCAAGGCGGATGAATGCTCCACCACTGTAACACTGGGATGGTTGTTCCACTGTAACACTGGCATGGTTGTTCCACTGTAACACAGGGATGATTGTTCCACTGTAACACTGGGATGGTTGTTCCACTGTAGCACTGGGATGGTTCCACTGTAGCACTGGGATGGTTGTTCCATTGTAACACTGGGATGATTGTTCCACTGTAGCACTGGGATGGTTGTTCCACTGTAGCACTGGGATGGTTGTTCCACTGTAGCACTGGGATGGTTGTTCCACTGTAACACTGGGATGGTTGTTACAATATAGCACTGGGATTAGTTGTTCCACTGTAACACTGGGATGGCTGCTGCACTGTAACACTGGGATGGTTGTTCCGCTGTAACACTGGGATGGTTGTTCCACTGTAACACTGGGATGGTTGTTCCAATATAGCACTGGGATGGTTGTTCCCAGGAATACTGTTTGCCTTCTATACCTCGTGACTGTACGTAGCTGTACAACCCCCTTAAAAAACTTGCAACGACCCTCATAGATGTTACTACTCTGTAAGTCAATTTTATGCTGGCTTTCTACAGATAAAGAGTGAAAAGTTGGAAGAAGGTTTGGCACTCAAGAGCAGCCTGCCACTCAACACCAGCCTAGCACTCATCAGCAGCCTGGCACTCAACACCAGCCTAGCATTCATCAGCAGCCTGGCACTCAACAACAGCCTAGCACTCATCAGCAGCCTGGCACTCAATAACAACCTGGCACTCAATAACAGCCTGGCACTCAACAACAGCCTGGTACTCAATAACAGCCTGGAACTCAACAACAGGCTGGCAGTCAACAGCAGCTTGGCAGTCAACAACAGCCTGGCAGTCAACAGCAGCCTGGCAGTCAACAGCAGCCTGGCAGTCAACACCAGCCTGGTACTCAACAACTGCCTGGTAGTCAACAGTAGCCTGACATTCAACAACAGTCTGGCAGTCAACAACAGCCTGACAGTCAACAACAGCCTGGCAGTCAACAACAGCCTGGCACAAGTGCGTCACACCAGACAATGGCATCACTCCCAGAGACATTCTTCCCCTGTCCACTTCTAATATATTCTTACGCTTGCTAGACTAGTACAGTAACTAGCCACAATGATGCTCCCTGATATGAAGGAGCATAATTATTGTCGCTAATGACGAAATAATAAACAATATTTTTTTATTTGACCAGATCTATATTGTTATGGATTTGGAACGAGAAAAATGGGTGAAATTTAGGGTGACTGAATTCGTAAAGAAAGGAGGGAAGACGGACCTTGCAGGAGCACTGGGACAGGATTCCCAACACTGCCTCTGCTAGCGGAAAAAAAAATATTAAGAATGATGCGAGGCTAATATTTAAATAAATTAATATTACTTTGTTTATATACACTTTATGCAGCGCATAGCCCGTGTGAGTCAGTCACAGCCAAGAAGAGTGTTGCTGGTTCTAGCCTATTGTGTCGCTTACCCTCAGTCACCCACTGACAGGTACTGCCCACATACAGTCACTCACTGACAGGCACTGCTCACATACAATCGCTGACAGGTACTGCCCACATAGTCACTGACAGGTACTGCCCACATACAGTCACTCACTGACAGGTACTGCCCACATACAGTCACTCACTGACAGGTACTGCCCACATACAGTCACTCACTGACAGGCACTGCTCACATACAATCGCTGACAGGTACTGCCCACATACAGTCACTGACAGGTACTGCCCACATACAGTCACTCACTGACAGGTACTGCCCACATACAGTCACTCACTGACAGGTACTGCCCACATGCAGTCACTCACTGACAGGTACTGCCCACATGCAGTCACTCACTGACAGGTACTGCCCACATAGTCACTGACAGATACTGCCCACGTACAGTCACTGACAGGTACTGCCCACATACAGTCACTCACTGACAGGTACTGCCCATATACAATCGCTGACAGGTACTGCCCACATACAGTCACTGACAGGTACTGCCACATACAGTCACTGACAGGTACTGCCCACATACAGTCATTGACAGGTACTGCGCACATACAATCGCTGACAGGTACTGCCCACATACAGTCACTGACAGGTACTGCCACATAGTCACTGACAGGTACTGCCACATACAGTCACTGACAGGTACTGCCCACATACAGTCATTGACAGGTACTGCCCACATACAATCGCTGACAGGTACTGCCCACATACAGTCACTGACAGGTACTGCCACATACAGTCACTGACAGGTACTGCCACATACTGTCACTGACAGGTACTGCCCACATACAGTCACCCACACACAGGTACTACTCACATACTTGCAAGTTTAAATCACTCTCAGCTCACTCAGCTCTGAGTCTAAATTCTTCAGAGAAATATTCATATGTGATCTCTGTCACTGTGGTCCTGCACTCGGAATGTATTTTTCTTGTTGCTGTGTTTGTTGTTGTTGTGGTTGGTGGTGACATCCGAACGGTTCACAACCAAAGAACCCAGGTTCAATTTCGGGCGAGGAGAGACGGAACGTGAGGTGTCCTGACCTTTCCATCTCTCCCCCTACAGTAAGACCTACGTGTAGGTTGAAGGCAGGCGTACCCTACTGCAGCAGGTTGCTGCCAGGAATCCTCCAGCAGTGGTTTCCGCGAAGGATTTTGGGACGGTACTGGTCTTTACGTCATTGGGCGAAATATTAGGTGAATTATCTTGACATTTTATTTCCTCTGACGTCAACCTCTCCCCTCTCCCATAGACTCCCACTTATCTCTCCCTCTTTACTCATGTGGAGGAACTTCTTAGATAAGTATACTTTCCTGCATAATAAGAGATATAACAATAGACAGGCACTTGTCTTTTAACAGCACGAATTCCAGCAGCCTCTCCCAGGAATCGCCTTCCTATTAGCTGCAGCTAAACTAGTTAATATGAGTTTGAAGGGACACACCTGGGTATTTGTATCGGACCATTTGATACCGGGAACGATGGCTTCATTGATGAATGGGCGGTTACGTCACTCGGGTCGTCGTTCTAGTGTCCTTATTCAGTCACAACGCCAGATATACCATTACTTTCACTATCACCATTCGTACACTATCCGAGGTAAGGAGAATGTTCTCCCAGTGTTCATGATTACATCTGGGTCAGTTACGCCGAAATACGTATTAAACAGTGTTTATTTGGATTAGTGATTAATTCTACCGCGAATTTCCTGACTTGTATTAAGGGAAACTAGTCTAACTTTCCTGATTTGAGGGCGAGAAGAACAATAATTTCTAATCATGTAAACAGGCTCAGTGTAGCTCTGTTGAAGATGCATTGTGATCTTTGTACCCTTGTTTGTTTTTGCGCACATGAGGTGCACAATAAACTGTCCACTCAAGGTTAAGTTACATTAGGTAAGGTTCGTCAGAAAACAGGGTAAGTGTTTCCTAACGCGGGTCTTAGTCACAAGATGACTCAGCTGGAGCTTTTTGTCATCTGACCGAATCCTTCCACTAGCTTACCGGTCTACCACTATTATGGTTATGATTACAACCATTTTATTATTCGCTCAAGCAACAACCCCAATGGAAATTCAAGAACTCCAATGAATATTCAAGGACATCAATGGGAATCCCAGGATACCAATGAAAATAAGTCACTGACTTTTTCGGGCTACCCTTCTAGGTAATTTACACAAATGTTACTATGTATGGTAATTGAACCTGTACCTAAATAAACTTACGACGCTACTCAATAAACTGGTATTAGTGTGGGTGGTGGTTGAGAGCAGAGATAAGTGCGCAGTGTGGTGAGTCCCGGGTATCATTGTTAGGTTATTCTTCAAATATTTCCTTGTTCCATTCCTTCCCTCCACCGCCCACTGTTAATATGCTATATTTTTGTTATATTGATTCTAATTGGTTGGTAAGTTAATGGGGTTTAAAGCCTGTCGAAGAGAGCCAAAAGGTACCTAATGAATGTTGCGACAGAAAGGGAGGAGAATGATTTTTTTGTTTTTAGCTAACACATTCGTAAATGTAAATATCTCTTTTTACCTTATTCCTGGTATATCTCCTTTATAGTATAATAATAAGATATGTCCTACATTGTATAATAATGAGATGTTAAAAGGACCCCAATGGAAATAAGTCTGTCTCACTTTTT